CATGGGAAGAAAAAAACCAGATGCCTAGGTCTAACTCATCGAGAGGATGCATGTCTAGAAGGAGGGAGGGAGCAAACATACACACTGGACCAGTACTGTGCATTTACAGCTGCTCCCGGCCTACTTCTTCAGCCTGCTGCCAGTGGGGTGGGTGCAGTGACTTTGCAGTGAAAATCACGCTGCTCCCTGCCATTCCAGGAAAATCTGTCAAATAAGGGAACCCTTTGAAACTACTGATGAGTTGAGAGCAGTCTTCATGTAAGAGCAACACAACCAGGAAGCCATCAAAGGAAAATGTCTTGATCTCTAAGGAGTTTTCCAAAGGCATGTGGAAAAAAAAAAAGGATAAGATAGTGCATGCTTATAATCCCAATACTCTGGAAGGCTGAGGCAGGAGGACTGAAAGTTCAAGTGCAGCCTGGGTAACTTAGTGAGACCCTGTCTTAAAATAAAAAAAAGCGCTGTGAATATAAGTAGCTCTGTAGTAAGGTTTTAGGTTCAAAAGGAGAAGTGGGGGAAAAAACCACTCCTCATTTTTTTCAGCCAGGGTCTTCCTATGTGGTCTAGGTTGGCCCTGAACTTTTGATTTTCCTGCCTCAGCTTCCTTGACAGCAAGATTATCGGGGTGTGTCACTGTGCCCAGCTGAGATTCGTAATGAGGAATAACAATCACTGAGTTGCTACTAAGTACTCTCACAATAATTCTGAGAGTAGATATTTTTATCAGTGATGATGATGTTATTACCCTTTCTTTATAGATGAAGAAACAGAAGTCTGACAAGATTAAACAACTTTTTCAAGGCCTCCAACTAGAAGATGAATGGATCAGGAATTTAAAAGTAGACTTACTATTATATTACATTATACTTTTTTCCATAAATAGGAATGCTTTAGAGGCGTATCTCAAGGGAAACAACTCTGTGAAGACCTTAAAACAAAAAGTAGGGAAAAGAGAAGGGAAACAGAAATATTTCACTGCATTTGCCAGATCTATTACTTCTATTCCTAGGTCACGAAGGAGAAAATGTTTTTGAAATCATGGGTCTACATTGATCTTACCTATTACTAGCAAAAACAGTATCTTACATTTGCGTGCAACTAGAAGATTTCCAAGACTATTACATCAATGCATAATACTATAGTAAGAGTGGAGCATCTCACATTTTACAGAAGAAAATGAGACAGACAACTACTGTTAGTTAACTTGTCTGGAACTGTTCATCCAGTTAGGACAGTGGTGGATTTAAATCCAGGAATGATTTTAACTCTAATGCTCCTTCCAACGTATTTCCCTGGGTCCATATGTAGCCTATGGTCTATTTCTCTTCAGAATCACCATATAAAAACAGATGTCCTGGTCCAGGGATATGGTTCAGTGGCACGAGCATGTGCTTGGCAAGTGCAAGGTCCTGAGTTTGATTCCTGGCACTTAAAAAAAGATGCCCTTTTTTACCTGGGTGTGGTGGTATACACTTTTAATCCCAGAACTCATAAGGCTGAGGCAGGAGGATCCTTGTGAGTCCAAGGAATGAGCTCAAGGCCAGCCTGAACTACATACCAAGATCCTACCTCAAAAATAAAAAGCAAAAAGTGAAAAACAAAAAACAGATACCCTTCTTGCCTCCTTCAGAATTACAAAACAAACATTCTGGTGGGCCTTTTCTTTGCTACACTAAAATTCTTCACTCTTACTTATTCCTCTAATTTTAAAGGGTTTCATTTTCTAGAAATGAGTTATTATTTGACATGAACTGAAAAATATAACCCAATCTTGCCAGGCAGCAAGTATTACCGGGTATGGATATGGGTCTTAGTATCTACAAGTGATTGCCTCAGCCCACTATGAAGCTTTATGTGAAATACTTAGGCCAGTTAAGGCAGAACTATTGATATAATAAATTTCATCTCTCTGTGGAGTTTGTGTAGCATTAAGAAGAAACTGGCATTCTTTACAAGTAAGAGAGTACAGAAGCAAAGGATGCCCTTGCCTTTGGGTCATACTCAGGACTTTCTTGGCATTTGGCACACGCTGTGAGGCACAGAGCAGGCATTCAATAAATGGGGACTGCTTGTCATCTAGTTAATTACTGATTATGCCATTAAGTATACAAGAGCAAGCCACCTTCCCTCTATTAGCTTGCCTCAGTATATTATAGCCAACAGGTACATAGGGGAATTGTGAACACATGCTTGTCCTTGGTCCATTAAGTCAAAGAGGCAGTAGGTTGGATTAGGAGTTTCCTGGTAGGATTTTCTTCATCAAAGCCTGCAAAGCTAGAATTCCAGAGCTGTATGTAGCCCTCAAATGTTTAGTTTGCTGAATAGTTTTAAAAACTATGAATTAATTGCTAACGTTTAGAAATAGAGGTATTACACATAAAAATGAGAAGTGCCAAGTATTACTGAAGCTGGGCTGAAGAGAAGAGCTGCAAACAAGATGAGCTGAAAACATGTACAAAGAGAGTGATGCCATCACACTCCTCGCCAAAGCCCACCTGCCCAGGAAAACGCTCACCGGACACAAGCAGAGGCCTGAGGGTTACCAAATGGCGCGGACCTAAAGAGAGGCTTTTAAAAAGGACATGAGTCACAGCCTGGGGTAGAATTACACAAAAATCTATGAGACCCACAGCCTCATTCCCTTTTTAGGCTCTTAGAACCACAGTTTTAGCTGCCAGGCAAATACCGTCCGTCCCATGTAGGAGATAAGATTTCTCTTTTGGGAAACTAATTTCAATAGTAGGAAGTCAATGGAGAATGTCCAAAATTAAAAACTCAAAAAAAAAATGAGTGTGTTACAGGGAAAGCTAGAGAGACTGCTGTGTTTTTTAAAATACGATTTACAATATTACTTGACTTAAAAATCACATACCAGTATTACTGTAATAAAAAGAAGTCCTTAATTACAAATATAGAAATAGAGAAAACAGAAACAAGAAAGCACAGAAAGCAGAAAGGTACACGAATAAGAAAAAAGGAGAGACTGTGGGTGGGTTCTGTCGGAATAGTGGTGGGAAGACTGAACCCCCAAATGAGCAGAGGCTTGCTAAAAATAGTCTAAAAAGGTGCAGAGCAAGATGACAGAGGGACAGACTGTGATTTATGAGGTAATGCTGAGGAGAAATACAGAAAAAAACCGAACTCCTCAACAACCAGTTAGTGACCCCAACAAGGATAATCATGAGGTCCTGTGCTATGTACACAGAAACCTCAGCACCCAGGACCGGCCACAGCCGGTGAGAAAACCATGGTTTTCTGGCCAACTCTAATGTAAGGAGATCATGGGTTCTGTGGCCTCCAAAATGGCTTACGTGACATGGGGTGTACTGTCCGAAGCACCAGGCAGCACACCTTAGAATTAACGAGCCAGAGTTTAAATTAATCCTTAAACAGAGGGAGGACGAGTTCAGAGAAGTAAGTACAGGAAAAGAACCAACATCATTTCTTTGAGGAATTACTAAATAAGCTTGAGGGTATTATCTATGAGGAACGTCTGGAAGAGCACATGACACCTACCTTGTAAGAGCAAGGAATACCAGGGATACAAATGTACAAAAAAAAAAAGTGGGGACACAGCAGCCAAGTGAGCTCCCGCGGGCTACGGAGCAGTGCCTCCGGAGAGACCGAACTGCTGGCACCTTGATTCTAGACTTCCAGACTCCAAAACTGTGAGAATGTAAGTGTTTGTTGTTTAAGCCACTCAGTCTGTTGCGTGGTTATTGTAGCTCTGGCAGACAGGTGGTCCAAACTCTAAGGCACTACAGGAACGAGTAGACTCATTTTAGACTCTCAGGTCTAAAATCTAAACCCCCCACAATACTAATTCTTTCCTATTCTTTCTTTATAGAAACGTCAAACATTCCGGAGAATAGTCTTGGAAAGGAGGGTGTATTACCCATTTTCTATTTTAACAGTCATATCTACTTAACAGTTGAAAAGCTTTTTAAGATCAGCTGAAATACACAGTGAAGCCCAGAGGTCGTTTCTCGGCCGGTCAGCCTGCCGCTTCCCGGGGCAGGAGACAACGCCCAGCAACCTCCAGGGCTGCAGCATCACTCCGGGCAGGCGGAGGCTGCTGTCCCACCTGATGCTGCTTTACTCGCGCCTTCCAAGCCCTAGCAGGGAAACCCCTTTTCTTGCCTTGTTTAGTAACTCACCGCTGCAACTGTAGTTTACACAGAAGACAGCCCCAACAGGTTTTGAAAGGCAGACATTTGCTAACAATACTGTTAATTCAAGAACAGGCAAAGCCCAAAATTTCCTTCAGCATTAAGCAGCAGACAAATACTGTGTCATATACTTGGCCTAGACCTCCGTATTTTTCTTATGGCCATTATCCAGCTTGATGCCGTGTGTCACCTAGAGCAGAGGGCTGTATGAGATGTCCTCAGTATAAAAAGAAATAGACATTTTTCTACCAGTAGGTGAGAAAATACCAGAAGATATTATCAAAAATAAAGATGGATGATTCAGTTATTTGAAAACTCAAGTGGTTTACATCTAAATTTATGAAAAGTTACAGGCTTTTCTCAGACTACTGCTAGAGCAAATGCAGAAATATTTCTTTGATGTCTGAGGTTCTCAAAACCTCAGGAAACGCACCTGTCAACAGAGAAAGCCTCCCTTCAGTTAACATCACCAGGAAGACCAAAGGAAAGAAAAAAGCCCTAACAACTGTTTATAAAGTTATAAGCAGAAATGCAGAGACAGATAATAAAGGAAAAGCATGTAAAAGCAAGATAAAAGTATTCCAAGTGTGGATATAAGAGGAGATAGGAAACGGAGATCTGTAAGGTCTAAAATCAAAGTTCTTCAGAGGAAGAAAAAAAATCTAAGCATTATTCTTATTTTAAACTTTCCTTTGGTCATTTTTCTGATAAAGTGTTTATTATGTTAAAAGATGTATCTTCTCCAGGGGACAGATCTGTCCCCTTAGGGCACTACATGACTGAAGTCAGTACAGCCAACCGTAACGGCAGGTTCACACACTGAGGACATACCTGCTTCTGGATCTGCAGGGATTCTCCACATGTACAGGTTGAAGTCATCAGAGCCTGAAAGGATATACTGTTGGGACAAAAAAAAGTTCACATTTTATTTTATAATTGGATATATTATTATCCAATTATAGTACATAACAATAAATATACAATAATACACATATCCTGACTTATTATATATCTCTTTTTATGTGTACAAAGAGACTTTAAAAAAATAATAAATGGGCATGTATTTATAAGGCACCATACAGCAAACATCCTCATAAAAATATTTGCAAATCAAAAAACTTGCTGGCTAAAACTCAGCAACTAAAAAAAAAAAAAAAAAAAAAAAAAGTAAAACTGGGTGAAGGATTTGAACAGCCATTTCTCAAAAGATACAAATGGCCACAACGTACAAGGAGTGACATTCCATATCACTAATCATCAGGATTTTGCAAAGCAAAACTGCAATGAGACACACTACATGCTATTAGGATGGCTACGACCAGAACAGAGACCATCACAAGTACTGACCAGGGCTGGATATGGTGGTGCACACCTATACCAGCACTTGGGAGGCTGAGGCAGGAGGATCACTACAACTTTGAAGCCAGCATGGGCTACAGAGTAAGTTCAAGGCCAGCCTAAACTACACAGTGAGACCTTGTCTCAAAACAACCAACCAACCAACCAACCAACCAACCAAGCAAAAACCAAACCAACCGAATAAACACAAGCCACAAAAACAAAAAACAAATACTGACAAGACCAAGTGGAACCCTGTTACTAGGCACTGCTAATGGGAATGTAAAATGGTGCAGCCAGTGAAGAAAACAGTAAGTCAATTTCTCCAAAAGTTAATTATATAAATACCACATAACTCAGAAACTGTAATCCTAGATATAAATCCAAGGATTGAAAGCAAGGACTTCAACAAATATCGGTATGCTGTATTGCCACTTTCATATCAGTATTATTTACAATAGCCAAAAGGTGAAAGCAGCCCAACTGTCCACTAACAGACAAATGGATAAACAAAAATGTGGTAACATTACTCAGTGGAATATTATTCAGCCTTTAAAAGGGAGGAGATTCTAATACATGCTACAATATCGGTAAGCCTTGAGGAATTATATTATACAAAACAAGGCAGATACACACAAAAAATACTGTATTGAGAGATTCTGCTTACATGAAGTACTTAAGAGTAGTGAACTGTCATAGAGACAGAAAGTGGAATGATGGCTGCCAAGAGTTAGGGGGAAAGAACAGAAAGTGGGTGTTTAATGGATATGGAGCTTTGGTCTGGGATATCAAAAAATTCCTGAGATCAGTAATAACAATGGCTATGCAACAACGAGAACGTACTCAATGCCATCAAACTATACAATTGTTATTATTAACTTTTTTTGGGTCTTTTTGAGACAGGGTCTTCCTTTGCAGTTCAGGGTAGCCTTGAACTCACAGTGATCCTCCTGCCTCAGCCTCCCCAGTGCTGGGATCACAGGCGTGCACCACCACGCCTGGCTTATTATTAACTTTTAAAATTCTCTTTTTGATGCTAGGGATTGATTCCAGGGCCTTGCACATACTGTACTCCCAGCCCCTGAATTTAAAAATATTCATTTAAAAATATTCAAAACAGTAAACCTCATGTTATGAACATTTTACTACAATTTGAAAAAAAAATGCAGAAAATACAAAGTAGGGGCTTCCCAGAATTTTTTTCTTTTTAAAATGTAAGGCCAAGCATCCTGAACTTCCCTGCTGTCAACTGACATCTCTGAGCAGGACGCCACTGCCAGCTCAGCCGAAGTTAGTGTCCAAGGTACAACCAATCCCGTTTTATGCGGCAGTTCAAATTGCCTGATCTCAAGAAGTTCACTATGCCAGACCTATTCTAATTTAGACTCATAAAAACACTGTCTAATATGTTTAATGGTAACAAGTAAGGCAGTTCTGGGAGCTCATGTTTTATTTAATGTTGAGGTCATGATTACTTCCTGCTTTTTGGCCCTATCTGCTTATTTCCCTAGAAAAAGAAAAGCCCATTGTTTTCTAGAGAAAACTTCTTACCTGAAAAGGGCACTGTGAAGTTTCGAAGAGAGTATAAATCCAATATACACATAAGCTCATGCTTTACATAAACACTGAAGTACTAAAATTAGTACTTTATGTTACTAAAGTACTACATTCCTTGTAATCATTGTGTGTGTGTGTGTGCGTGTGTGTGAGACAGGGACTTACTTTGTAGTTCAGACTGGCCTTGAACCCACTATGTAGCCCAGGCTGGCCTTGAACTTGTAGCGATTCTCCTGCCTCAGCTTTACAAGTGCTGGGATTACTGGCACGTACCACCATGCCTGGTATTGCAATCATTTAAAAGTCCGTTTACTAGCTTTCAAAACATACATTGAAACACAAGGAAGGAGGTAAAGGCCAGTATGTTTAGAGATAAAGCAAAAGCTATGTTAAAGGGCTAGGGAAAGCCAGGCATAGTAGCACACACCTGTAATTGTACTCTGAGAGGCTGAGGCAGCCTCAGCTACATAACAGCTTGGCTAGATCCTATCTCAAAATAAAAAATAAAAAAGGGTTGGGGATACAGCTCAGTACAGGAGCCCTGGCTTCAATCCTAGTACTGTCCTAACTCTCCAAAACGCTCAGTGATTGGTCCAGGGCACAGTGGAAAAAAGCAGTGAGTTATTTTCTCATCTATAAAACAAGAGAACTGGACTGGATGCTCTCCGAAGCACTGATGCTTACAGAGACACAGAGAGTGACAACCTGGATTCCTAAGAGCTTACATCCAGTTGAAAATACAAAGCATGCAGGTATGCAGCAGCCATTCCATATGTGGAAGTCCGTAGGTGCCATGATGAGAAATAGGGACCCTGGTGATTCACTGAACTGGTGATTGGAGAAGAGAAAGATCTGAGCACGGAGCCAGCTTCACAGCAAAGTGTAGTTTAAAAGGCAAAGGAATGGAAGGTGCAAAGATAAAGCAATGGCAGTCCGTAGTCTACTTCTGTAACACGAACAGGAAGCAGGGCTTAGCTTTCTCCTTGATATCCCATTCCTATCCCTCAGGCCTTGCCATTTTGTATACTTTGCCCGATCTTCAACTGCCTGGATCACATGTCTGTCTGAGAGTATTCTCCAAAGCCTTTTAGTCAGCCAAATTCTCTAGGAATGAACATTGTTAGGCGCAGCCCAACCTCCTTGCTCCCAGGTAAAACTCAGGTTTGTGTTCTCTACCCCAGGGTCAGTCTGCCGCTGCCCACAGTAGCTGGCTCACTAAATCGTTCTTCCTCTCCCTGTCTAACATCTCTACTCCGCTGCCATTTGTGCTTCCAAATAAACTAGCTGCACCTGAAACTTGAACCCAAATTAAAATAAAGGGGTGGGGAATAAATAATACAAAAGAACTGCCCACTAATTATATGTATATATGATTACATAACATTTATTACTCAACATCTTATTGCGTGCTCTGTTTAAAACAGGCTATAAACTTCATACAGAATTCCTGCTTCTCTTCCTTTCTACCCAAACCTCCACAAACTACGTAAATCAAACATAAAAACAGTAAGCCGAGGCTGGGCTTATCAGAGGTTTTACTATTTCACTGCAAGGACTCAGCACTTTCCTATTTGTTCAACTGTTCACTACGGCAAAGCCCTGAAAAGGTAAAAGGGACTCTCAGACAGAATGCTGACTCAGAAGATTGCCTTAAAAGGAAGAAAATTTTCCTGCAGAGTTAAGGCTTGTTAGTTTTTATATGACAGCTCCTAAAATACGCAGAAAATACGTAGAATGCATAGGCTTCCTCTCAGGGATAAGGACAGCTGTTGATTGCTCTACTTTTTAAGACTAACTCTTCCACCTACCAAAAAGGAACAGCTCAGATGCTTTCCAAGGATGGGTCCTGACCCATGGACACGTGTAGGCAGGCTGTTTAGGTATTCACGCAGAGACTGAAATCGCCAAATGTGCTGGGAAAGTCATTTATGGCATTTTGTGGTTGTCTACTGGACCCCTGCCAGCATTAAAAGTTAGCTGCCTGGGAAACTTCATTAAATAACACTTAATGTCTCCTATACGTTAGGCACTGTTCTAGGGAAAGGAATATAGAACTGACCAAGGAGACCCCATCCCTGCCCTCATAAAGCTTACATCCTATTGAATAGAAAAATATTATACCTACATATAACGTGGATAAAAGGAAATTAGTTAAACAACAGTAAGTTTTATATGTGTGTGTATATGTACATGTATGGTGGTACTAAGGGTTACGGGGTTACAGGTTAAGAGATATTGGGAGTGGTAGGGGTGGGGAGTTTCTGTTTTATACAGAGTGGTCATAGAAGGCCTCTCTGACAAAATGGCATTTTGAGCAGAGCCCTGAGGGAAATGAGGGAGCAAGTTATGTGGATATCTGGAAGAAGAGTATTCCAGGAGACAGCACAGCGTTCTGGACTATTTTAAGATATAAAGTAGCCACTTAGAGCTACCTACTCCCTTTAAAGCTACTCAGAAGAAAAGATTATTTCAGGGGGCTGGATGCAGGGCTACATTTGCATCACTGGGGCTGCTGAAAGGATTCCTCTTCTGAGGCTGTGCTGGCACTGCCTCCTGGACTCGGGCTGGTTGGAACCTCAGACTGAGGCCTGCTAAAGGTTAGTGCTCAAGAGGTACTTCAAGTGTGCGTAGGCTGTCTCACAAATTCCTGCTGCAAGATGCAATGGAAAATGAACAAGAAAACAAAGATAAAATAGTTCCAATGCCACTCACTCTTCAAAGAAACCCAAAATAAATAATATTAAAACTGTACAAGCACAATTATTTGAATTAACTATAGTGACTGTCCATTAGGAACAAAAAGGTTAAAATCCTTAAAACAAACAAACAAACAAAAAACCTCCAGTCAAAGATCTGCCTTAAAGACCCCCAGCCTCTCCTCTAGGTAAGAGTCACATACAGCAGCTATTCTTTTATGTAAGGCCCCTCGCTCCTCCCAGTGAGGGCTGACTCCTAAGATAGACTTCCTTTCCTTTTCACCTTTTCTCTAAAGCTGAAGCCCTC